AAATAATGAACCTTTAAAGATCAATCATTTACAACATTAATTTCATGTATCTGTCACCTTCCAACTCAACTCAAACAGATTGACAGGAAGACCAGAGTGACTGGTCGAAAGCTCTAGGTGAGAGAATTTTTGTGTTGGATCAAAAGTTTTAACTTAAAACATCAAACAGATTGACTATGTTTATCATATCATAGAACAATCATCATGGTATTGTTGGGGTTGTCTAGAAACTCAGTACCTTTTGTGAAAAAAAAACAGATCTTGTGAAAAATTTTCAATAAATCACCACAGAACAGACCCCATGTCCTATACTCTTATCTCTATTATCAGATAGACTTATTACCGGTAGAAACCTATCCAACAGTTGCTTGGATTTCGATTATTTCCACTTGATTATTTTACTATTCAGGGCTGGAAATTGCATAATTATGCAGGTTAATGCAGGTAAAATTGGGGCTGATTCTAGTTCCTTGTTTCTAACCTTTACCAGTCCATAAAATTATACTGGGTTTGTATACAAATGTAGGTGTATGTGGATTTCAACATGCTGTATTGAATGGCTCCACCTATAAAGTATAAAGTATAAAGAAATAATGGCAAATAATGGTGTCATAAGTGGCAAAATTGCATCAAATGGCAGAAAGACAGATGCTTGGATTGTATGAAGGTCTACCTCTAGTCTAAGTAGTACTTTACGTGGAAAGTTTTTTCCATTAGAATTAATAGATTCTTGGATTTTGTATCCATGTCAGTGTCTGAAGACCCTTCAGTAATTACCAGTAGCCCATCTGGTATTAAAAATCCAATATTGAGACAAATACTGCTGGGTGTGGGTTTCTACCAAACTTAACACCATAAACTAGGTCAGCTTGCTCTGTAATAGATGGGAGCTCAGCTTTGATGACCCCTGTATAATCCATGTCTACAGTACAGATCGCGGGATAAGCATCATCGGGATTCGGGATTTTGCGGGATATCCCGCGGGATTTTGCGGGATATCCCGCGGGATTTTGCGGGATATCCCGCGGGAGATTGCGGGATATCCCGCGGTATTCTTTCGGGAGGCCTGTCGTGTCCCGCGTACCGCGTAGCGAAAAAACTTGGTGCGAGACCCCGAAGTCTGCCGCGGCTCGGAACGGCGATGGCGGCGTGCCAAATGTTTATTTTTACGTCCTGCCGGGCGAGCTGTGCCGAGCCGATGGATCTGACGCCAGTCAACTTTGCTACAATTTTGCTACAATTTTAATGGTGTTGAAGCATAGGAATGTACGAAAATAATGTGTATAAGGTGTTTCTCACGCGGTCATAGTTATTATAAAACTGCTACTTTTTTTTTCAAAGCTATTGTTCAGCGCAAACTTTAAGAAACTACCGTGAATGAATACAATGTAACGTGTAGTAATCCCTCCGTCTCCGGTAAATTCGGCAAGATTGTTACCAAGAGATAAAAATTATGAGGCGTACCGGCAGTAGTTTGTGGTTGTTGTGTTTCATAATCTTGTAGCTGTTGTCTTCTCATGGGTAGCTTGCGTCAAGAGGTCTCCGTATTAGTATTAACAATTGCGACAATTAAAAGTTTGCCCATCAAAATCCCGGGGCGTGCGTCTCCCCCCTCCCCAAAAAAACCCTTGCATCAACAACGACCATGTCCATAATTAATTTCGATAGATTGCTATCACCCTGAAAGCAAGTACTTCCACACGGCTGGCAAAGTTTCTTTCGGTAGGAAAACATTCTACTTCTGTCAGCTGCGGGGTCAGCCAACTAAATGAAAACGGAGTCGATTTAAACAACGCTATAAACTTAGCGCACGTCCAAGACACGGGAGAACCCGAAAAATAAATAAACACGGGAGAACCCGAACTAAACGTGTTTATGCAAAATTTGACGCAAATTAATTCCTTCTCAGACCATAAAACTTGAAATTCACTCGGTACGTATATATACACTCCGTGGAACTAGCCTCCTCACATGTGAAAAACGTTGTTTTGGGATGAAATCAGGATATAAGAAAATTACAATGCCGCAGGCCGTGCAGGGCGGAAAAAGAAGCTACAATCCGACGTACGTATAACAATCGTCAGGCGGTGTTTCTGTGGGGCGGTGCATCTGTCTCAACTCTTTGAATTCGCGGCCTGGCTGGTGGGCGGGTCCCCGTTTGCGCGCTGTGATTGGCGCGCCGGAACGCCACGTGGTCAGTCGGCGCCGGGGAGTCTGCCAGCGCCGCCGCCGCTGCTGGCGACGTGCGGTTTCTATGGCGACGCGGCGTGGGAACGCCCGGCCCAACACTGGGGGTCTGCATGCCCTTTTTCGTAAGGCGTAATCAGGCGTTTTTTTTATTCATTGTCTTCGTAAACCGTAAGGCAACCTTCCCAAAAATCAACGTAATTCGTAATCAGTACATTAGCCGCAAAGCGTAAAGTCGTAATCAGCTCTGAAACTTTAACTTTATAGCAAAAATTTTGCGTAATTCGTAATCAGTAACCCCCATGCAGGCCCTGAACACTGCATGACGCACGAAATGTATCAAAGTTTGAGGCGTAAAGAACCCTTGAATTATGCTTCGCCCCCTTGTTTTACACAATGTTTAATCTCTCTTCCGTAACTCCATAGGTCAACCTCCCCTATCTAGGAGAAAAATAAAGAACTCGAGTGGCGATTTGGCACGTCGATGCGTTAGATTTTTTTAAAATTATATCTGAAATAGCGCGGGTCGGGTGACATCAAAATAAAGCCGTCCACGTCGCAAGGCCGGACACAAAACTTGTTCAAGAAGGTTGTATTACTTTGTTATCGTTCTGTACCTTATTAAGCCACCAGATTTCCGATATTAAAAAAAAGAAATGTTTGGTTAAAAATACTATTTGCTCTATTGTTATTTGCATGCATTGAAAACATACTAAAACATGCACGCATCGTCTGCGTAAAAATCTGTAGTCAACGCGGTTCAACTTCAAGTAACAGCGGCGCCGGCCCTTCAGAAACCTATGGTCTCACACCGAAGATCGGGGTTGCGGGAGAGGATTTCGTACCGCGGGATATCCCGATAAATCCCGCAGGATATCCCGAAAACTCCCGCAGGAGATCCCGCAAACTCCCGCAGGAGATCCTGCAAACTCCCGCGTGATATCCCGCAAACTCCCGCGGGACTTGATGCTTATCCCGAGATCTGTACTGTAAAGTGTCGGTCACAACCCGCCGTACATGCTTTTTGTCTATACGTTTTATTGGGAGGCCACGTCTGCTACGTTTTTTCTGAAAACGTGGGGAAGGAGTGGCGTCGACGCACGTCACTCGCATGGTTGCGCAAGGTGTAAGAGTGTGGTCTGCACGCCACGCCTGGCCGTGAGCGGTTGCGTGCATCGTACGTTGCGCAAGTGGTAAGTGAGTTGTACGTGCATACAACGTACGATCTCTGTGCGATTGCAACTTTATCGTAAGGAGGCCGTACTCACATGTACGGGGCACGCGCGTCGCTTGTACTCGCACGTATGGGTGGTGAATCCGCAGACCGCACGCAGAAAAAGTTTTACATGCACCTAATGTTCTACGATGTGTCTGCGTGCTCCCAAATCCGTAGGATTCCGTACGGAGGTGGTACTCACCACTTACCTTAATCCCCTACGTTTGCCCACGTTTTTGCACGTAGACAGCATGCAGAAGCACGTACGGCGGGTTGTGACCAAGGTCTAAAGTGACCATGTGTGTGCTCCCTGAATATAGAATCTAGCTTTTAATACAAACTTTTTTATTTTTTCGTCGATGAAGGTTAGACATCCAGGTAATACGATATACCAAAAAACAGTTACTCAAGCAACTGGATATGATTTTGAAAACGTTTTGACGTTTTCAAAATCATATCCAGTTTGATTTTGAAAGTCTGATATGATTTTGACGTTTTCAAAATCATATCCAGTTGCTTGAGTAACTGTTTTTTGGTATTTTTTATTTTTTATTTTATTTTCATAACCGCTGACAAGGCCTTTCAGCATCTTTAAGTTAACAGTTTGTACACCAAGAAACAGGTGGGTCATTAATATTATTATAATATTACGTATACGATGTCATGTAACATGTAACTATTTTGATAAGTTTTGTAAACTAAAAATGTATCATGACTTTTCTTGACAAGTGCAATTATATTGTATGTCCTTATGATCGTTTTACGTGTTCCATTTAGGGTCATTGGTCATACATGTAGGTACTCATTTTTACCTTTAAGAAAGTCGTGTCACATGCCTTTCCCAAGTGCACAACGTCACCTTTCTCAAGATGGATTTGAACCTAGGACCTCTGTGTTCTGGGCCTATTACTGTTACGCCACACAACACTAACTACTGTGAGCTACTTTAGAAGGGGAAGAAACTTTATGACACTGGACTTAAAACTAAAATGGGGCCACTTTTGACATCTTTGTTGTTGTAGGCAATATTTTCCTATCATAATCTTTCAGCAAAGGAAAGCAGTGGCCATATTCTCTTTATAAATGGGCTTTTTGATACCTTCTGCCATCAATGTGTCCTAATTGCTTTATGGTGTCCAACCAGCCACATTTAGGCTATTCAGCCCTGGGGAAGATGTGATGTGGGTGTGCTGTGATTGCAATGTTGAGTTGTACATTCTTCATTTTGAGTCTTAAATTATTTACCTAAAGTACCGCTACAGTGGTGCTAGTAATAGACCACTTCCACATTCAATTCAGTCAGTTTAAACTGCTTTTGGCAAACATTCTTAAAAGTTTCACACACTAATAGTAACACGATATCAAAGATTTCATATCTCATGATCAGTGAATTTAAGGTGTTTCAAATTTGTGAATTATTTAATCATTAAAATAGAAATGCATATAGCCTACAAGTTGAAGACAGGAAATGGAATGACTTTTTCTGGAACTTTTCTGGGACCTTTGACCTAACTTACTGTCAGTGTTCCTCATGTGTGTAGCTAGCATGTGGAAATAATTATTAATAACAGAAACACAAGCAAACAAACACCCTGACCTCACTGTTGTGTCCGCGGAGGTTGAAGTTACTGCGGGGAGGGGCCTTGTACTCCTTCCTGCAGTGTGATGTGGTGAAGGTCGCGCCGACCACGCCCTTGGCATTCCCCGTGGCCAGCCAGCCCTCATGGCAGTATCTACAACAGGAAGCAATAAAGGAAAAAAATCACATTGTGTTGTTTGGTTTAACATTGGTCATTTTAATTTTGGAAAATCACTAGCCATTTGGAATCTCAAAAAAAAAGGAATGATATAACATTCAACTGACATCAGTACATTATGTAGCTATTGGTGTAACGAGTATACGGTAGTAATAGGAAAATTATTGTTATGCAGCATTCATAACTTAAGATATCATTAAAAAAATGTTGTTTTGTTCATTTGATTAAGATAATTAGGATGAAAATTAGTGTAAATTTCACAATATTCTTCCTGTAAGTGAATAACCAACTTTTCGTAGTATTTGGACCATTGCATGCCAGGGCATGCAACCACACCTTTTGAAAGGTGTGGTGGGTTCTTTAAGAATGTGCTTCTTCCCAAACACCGGACCTCTATGTTATGTCCTATCCGAGGGACATCCCTAATTAACCAAGCAATTAAGCTTAAAGGTACTCATTTGCAACTGAACGAAGGAAGGAAAGTCATCTGAAAAAAAAAGAACCTAGAACCTACAATGTATATGGATCAAACAACCTTGAACAGTTACAATCATTATAATAATATATAATACATAAAGTGTTAATATAAAATGTAATGATATATAATAATTCTATAATAGTATTACACCACACAATCCCACAAGTTGTGGAGGATATTATTGGAAAATCTAACTCGAACAACAATAATTATTATGTTCCGCTACATGTACGAATTATAGATCACCATCACCATCAGGATCTGATATAGGATTTAAAGAAACTGACAGAAGCGACTACCTGTAACAAATTATGGACTAACTCAGAGTCAGACAGTCTAATCCTGTATCTTCTGTAAGGCCACACAAAGTAAATTTTATGGATGACGTCCGCGCGCGCATTGATTTTGGCCTGTTCCTAGAAAAAAAACCCAAGAAATTCCGCTTCCTGTAACTATGACCAAAGAGTCACGACAGTGCCGCAAATAGGTTTGTACGGACCAAAGCTAATATGAAGCATCAAGCAAGGAAATCATGACTTCAATTAGGACTTCAGTTTGGTACATGCTGCCACATTTGAAGAAACTTGCTGACCGCTCCATCTATCTCCCCAAAGCACAAGATGACAACTGCTGTTCCACCTGATATATTATTGCTGTTTTGATGATAAATAAAAGACTTCTTGCTTGTTACACTTTGTCATCTCATTCAATTTGTGTCCTAACATTTGTCATCTCTTAATAGTATATTTCTAATCTAGGCATCTTGTTTTTAGGGCCCTTCTTGTTATTTTTTCGCCCTCTCGCATTAGATTTAGGGTCTCCAAAGGACGTCATCCATAAAATTTACTTGGTGTGGCCTAATGTATCCATACTTGCACTGATTAATAGACACAACGGGCCAAATTTACAAGTTGTTTGTCAGGCAGTGCAACTTCTTTACTTACTCAGTATGGCTAATAGAATATTTGGCTAATAAAAAAGCAGCAGCAATTGCATGCAACATGTGGTAAGTGGTGGCAACTCTGAAAGATGCAAAGGCCATAACCACTCATTACAACGAGTAACATTGTCAAGATGACTGCTCAATGTGTATATTGTGCTCTATACTAATTAATGGTGCTTTTCTATATTTTGGTTCTCAGATTTCCCTGCTTCATTTTTTTTTTCATTTGCAACAACAAAGAACAATTCAGGTCCTATATCAACTCTGAAATGCTTGTACAATGTACATGTATTTTGGTGCAGTTGAGGATAGTCCCTGTATGTCTTCCTAAAATGTTACAGTTTTACCAGCTATCAATTCAATGTGTGGTTTAAATAACAGACCAGCGTGGTATGTATGTATGTATGAATATGTTGACTTCATGGCTCCTATGATAATCGTAACATTTGGGGCTATCATAGAATTCGAATGCATTTAAGCCTTTTTAATTTTTTTTTTTTTTTCGGCCTGTGGCTTTCATATTTCTTCTAAAAAAATCCAATAACTAACAGGGCTCTCCCTAATATAAGCAATGAAGCAAGGATGCTCCCACTCTCCAAAATTCCTAGCACTCTACCCAAAATGTTCTCTTCGTATTTTCAAGAAAATTCAATGATTTTTCATCAACCGATTGGGGAGCACCTCTCCCCTATGAATTTCTGGGGAGACCCCTGACTAACAAATTAAATTGCTTTTGCCTTAGCATTGTATATTGTACATGACTGTGCATCAGTGCATCACTTCTCCATTTTGAGATACTGTAAGAAGCAGATTTAATGCTGCACTCATCATCACAAATCAGCATTAAAATATTACTCATGCCCTATTATTTCTGAAGCGGACCCTTACAAATGTAATTGCTACAAATGTTGGAGTCAATATCCCGTACATGTATCTTCATTAGAGGATATCTAACCTGATTAACTATGCTGAATATTGAGTCTGTCACGAAATTGTTTATCCATAAATTGTAGAGAGGAGAAATGAGGAGCAGACTAGTGGGAGCCAGAATGTCATCCTCCTAATAGTGTAAATTTTGTGGCTCAAGTTAGTGCTGAGTGCTTTTTTTATGTACAGTCAAACTACGTCTAAGAAGATCACACAGGGGACTAACAAAAAGTAGTCTTGAAAGTTCTTAATCTTAGACAAGTGATCTCAGGGCCCAAAATACTGGGTGAATACTGGGTGAATGGGCACCTTAGTGCACCCAAATTTGGAGCTGTCCACCCAATTTTTTTCTGTGGATTCACTCAGGTGCACCCAAATATTTTCGTAACTTTAAGTATGTTAAATGTATGGTAGTATACAGCATATGCTTAACTTCTAACTTAATCTAAGTGTCAGAAAAAATATAATTGTTGCAGTCCTTTTCTTTAGAATTGAAACAAAATATATAATTTTGCTGACATTCTACTTATTTTATTCTATATGGTGTAGTGTGCACCCAAAAAAATGTTTGTGCACCAATATTTTTGGTTGGGAGCACAAGTGCACCTATTCCCAAAAATGAAGTTTGAGCCCTGGGTCTTCTTACAGGTATATAAACAGCATGACAAGACTGAAAACTAGAATACCGCGGTAAAAATTTCCACCCATTTCACAATTATAGACTTGATCTGTCAGAACAAAAACCCAAAGTGACCCAGCTGGCGCCATTTTACATTGTGCAAAAGACATGTCATGCTGTCAAAATCAATGGCAAACTGGTAGATTCCATCGTGATTTCTCGCTCTGAGTTTATAAAAAAAATGAAAATATTGCAGTCATCATAGGCAGAGGCTGGGCCATATTTCAGTAGCGCTGGACAACAGGCCAGCTTAGGCAAGTTCCGTAAATCTTACGTCAATTGATAAAAAGTTGAGACCAAGAAAAAAAAAAGCCACACACAAAATTCTGTGCCTCTGCCAAGACTTTATACAGTCTTCGTAATTCTTGGCAAGGGCAAGTTTATTAATATATCTTGTGCAGTCTTCCAGTCTGAGAAATGTCAAATCTTATGTTCACCTCTGAATCTCCAAGATACATGTATTATATAGACATATTTTTCGTTGAAGAGGTTCATCAGTCACGTAGAATTAACAGGTAGTAGAAATTCTTCGATCAGTGACTGTATTTTTTGTAAGGTAGATTACGTACCTCCAAATTTTCGATGTCCACTGTACATTTTGTTCACGGAATAGACATATTTTTCGATTACATAATATGTAATTATGAAGGTCATACAATGTAGAAGAGAGTGGCACATTGCATATCAATGTAACAACAGGCTGAAACAAACCCGATAATCGATTGATAAAGGAAACAATTGAAGTAGACATTATCAAGTAAAGACTGCTGGAATTGAACTCAGGGATTAGCCAGGCACAATCCATAAAGCCCAGGTCACAACCCGCCGTACGCGCTTCTGCGTGCTGTCTGCGTGCAAAAACGTGGGCAAACGTAGGGGGTCCGTGCGTAGTGAGTACCACCTCCGTACGGAATCCTACGGATTTGGGAGCACACAGACACGCCGTAGAACTTTAAGTGCATGTAAAACTTTTTCTACGCGCGGTCTGCGGATTCACCACCCGTACGTGCGAGTACGAGTGACGCGCGTGCTCTGTACCTGTCATACGGAGGTGTGAGTACGGCCTCCTTACGGTAAAGTTGCAATCGCACAGAGATCGTACGTTGTACGATCGTACGCATGTACAACTCACCACTTGTGCAACGTACGATGCACGCAACCGCTCATGGCCAGACGTGACGTGCAGACCCCACTCTTACACCTTGCGCAACCGTGCAAGTGACGTGCGAGTGACGTGCGTCGACGCCACTCCTTCCCCACGTTTTCTGAAAAAACGTAGCAGACGTAGCCTCCCAAAAAACGTACGGACAAAAAGCATGTACGGCGGGTTGTGACCAGGGCTTAACTTATCTATCATGACAACTCACTAGTCTCTGCCAATGTTGGCTAACATATACATCACTCTTCTTTTCTAGCAGTGGACCTTAGAGAGTGTTAACTCTTTCATCTATAAAGGGCATAAATGAAACTTTCATAAAAGCCAAGAGGCTTTTCAACAGGAAGCTTTATAAAACGAGACCTTTTGACACACAGGCATTTATTGACCTCACAGTGGATTTTCAGATTAATGTTATAAAATTATTAATTGAGACCTTCAGGACTCTGAAAGTGTTGCTAGTTATAATGATCATAATAACTAGAAGCCAGCTTTTAACTGAAAACATAAAAAGATTGTACCATAAAATGATGAATGCCTTTGATGCATCAAAATCAGACAGTATTCTTACGTCTTGCACGTATGTCCAGTTGACAGATACACGGTCAAGTTTCACTATAAATCTCTTCTTTGAAGCTAAATAAAAGATTGATGTATCAATTGAACTTGTTTCCTTTGAACTTTCAAGAGCTTTACTAAGGCCTAGGGAAAAACAATGTTATGTTTCCAGTTACTGGACTGACCCTACCAAAATTCCCATTCCTACTAGCAGGGCTGGAAATACTGGGTGCAT